GTTTTTTCTTCACCATACACGCGGCGGGAGTTCAAAAAGTCGCAATCATGATTTTGACATTTTGTTGGCCCATTGAGAATCCAGTGGTCTACTGTAGCAGTATATTTTGTGTTCCATAGTCCTGGATCTGTCAGAGTGTGATCATAAATCTCATTCACATTCTCGGTTACTGTTGCAGATTCGTGTATTTCTTCTAGTAGTTCAGTAGGAGAAGGAGCTCGTGTATCTGGAACTGGGGGATCAGATGAAGAAGTGCTTGCAGGAGTGGAAGTAAGTGTTGATGCTGTATCCAGATCAGGAGCAGTAGCTTTTGTAGCAGGGGTGAACCAAGCCGATAACTTTGGAAGTTTGCTAAGTTTTCCTGTGCAGTTCTTTTCCTCTTCTGTGCTCCACTAGCATATGTACGCTTCATTTCTGTTATAATTATAATTTCCAAAAATTAGAAATGTAGATTTTGAAAATGACATGATTTTCATGATGCCCTAATGAATGTATATATTTTATATAATTAATCATTCTATCACACCTAGTGTCCAGTTACTTTTTCATGTAAGTTTTTGGGTAGTAAGGTTATTTGCATGCTTGTTCAATCGACCCAGTTATTTACAACGAATGGGGCTAATGTGATACACAAATGACCCAGATGAGGACAGTAATTTAAAAAACAAATTCCTAGTAACAGCACTGCATTTAGGTGTGGTCATGCATATTCACCTTTACCATGAATTCAAGGAAGGGTGTAACCAGCAATTTTCTTTGGGGTTGCCAGTTCTTCGAAGGATTCTGGTTTGGGGAAAAATGTAAGTGAGGAAACATTTATGTCACTATAAATGCATATAACAGACTGCATCCCTGGTGGAGTTCAGGGGCAAAGCCCTGTTATGGGTCCAGGAAGCTCCTCAAATGTTATGAATTGAAAGCCAAAAATTGACTCATTATATTATTATACTATTATATGACTTACAAATTAATTTTTTAAAAATATTTGTGTACAAAAGTCATAATGACAACTGTATCTTATTTTAAAGCTTATAACTTAAGCTTTCTATAAATATCAATTTCATGCTAATTTGCAAATTAGGTGATTTTTTTGAGAGTGGTGTTTTTTTTTTCGTGAAAATTTGTTTTTGGCTCAAAAAATTTGAATGAAATTCACTCTTCAGGCCTAACATGGTGTGGCATGAACATTTATTCACTTATTTAGTAGTTATATGGTGTAATTTGAGCATATTTTGAACATTTTTGATCAACAAAACTTTAAATGACTCAGTATGCAAACAAGTGGGTAAGCCTAAGCTCCATTTACTGTACAAATATATGTTAGGCTAACTAGCCTAACATTTGAATGCTTTGAACAGACTAGCATATCGGTTTTTTATTTTATTTTCGATTTAACTTCATAATCATTAATATTATTATAAGAAAATGTTTTCTTTTTTGGCTAGACAGTACGGTACCCAAACAAGTAACGACTAAAATTTCAATGATATTTACTGTATTTTTCTGGCTGATGTTGAACCATGCCATGGGGGGGAAATTTCGGGTTGCTGGAAAACGTTGGTATTTTTGCTAATAATTAGGCCATGGAGTAATAACACTGGCTGAGGTGGCACTATTTGTTTATTATATACCAGCTGCATACTCTGAGCTGTTTGAGAGTTCATTCAACCTTTAACAACTCTTGAACATTTGCATTAGGACTGCTTGTGTTGTATTACATGTATATAAAAATGCAGAAACACGTATACAAAAATCCAAAAAGTGCTGCACTGCTGCTGTGCCGGCCAGGTAAGGAGGCCTCCATTTCACATTAACGCCATTACTATTTGATAATATGAACCTTAATTTTTCTTTTTCAAATAGAATCGTGGGACCCTCGGGCAACTGCCCAGTGTGCCCATGCAATAAGATGGTCCTGGCAATGATTTGGCATTATCTTGTGCATCTGTCCTCTGCTTCTTCCTTTCTCATCTCAGCTTATGTCTATCTATTATATGTGAGGTGTCTTTGTGAATGATGTCAAAATTTTGCATTACAGCAGTAGCAATGGCTGCTGCAGAACAGTCTGAAACACCATACTGATCACAAGTCCTAGCCAGTGCAGGAACACTAGTTTTCATCTGATGTGATATAAATGAAGGTTCAATTACTCTACCAGCAGATGAGTTTGAAGTAATTTCTGACCCAAAATTGTTAGGCTTGACATTTGTTTCTGGTTCAGATGAGTTCTGAAATGATTCTGCCATATTTGTGCTTGCTTCATCATCCAGTATCCTCTTCTGACTTTATTTTATGTTCATAATGCTTTCACAGTTTTTTTTGGTTAGTACTACATCTACTCCTCCAATTCCTATTTTTTGTTGTCTTTGCTGGTTGCACAAAAATTCTCTTTCAGGAGTAGGAACTAGACGAGTTACATCATATTTGCAAGATGTTGAAATACATTGGCAAGCAATTATATCAAGCAATTTCATTGTTTCCTTGAGAAAGTTCTGCCATTTAGAATGAAAATGGGTGTTCCAGCTCTCATGATTGATTTAATCAAAGCCTGATATTTGTCATGTCACTTTCATATTTTTGTCAAGCTATTATGAGAAATGATTGGAATTGAAGCTTTTTTTCATAGGTCTTCTACATCGGGCAACTTTCTCAGCAATTTCAGCAACCTTTGGCTCAGAATCTTTTGATGATGGTTTCAATTTTAGTCTTATATGCTGATAGCGTGAAATAACATCTGCAGTGTTTGGTAGAACATTGATTTTCAATGGTCATGCATCAAATTCTGATACCTTTGTAAATGCCAACAGAAATTTTTAAGTCACCTTGTCAAACTCTTGATGAATGCTGTAATAAAGGAAAGGGAAGAGAAATGTAGCACTACAGCAGGGTGACAATCCTTTTTCAAATCACATCTTACTCGCAACTGAGCAGTGACTCAAATACATTGCCTGCACCCATGCATTAGCTACTAGCACTAGGAAGATTGCCAACTAGTATATTTTTGTAGCTAGCTACCCATGAAAAATGGATTACATGTCAGGACATTACTTCCATAAGCATGAAAAAAACAAACTAATGCAATTGTATTAGTAACTATTCAAGACTGGTTGTATGTCAGAACAATTTCTAGGCATAAATATAAGAGACTTCAAGTGTCTTGTAGAACCAGTAAACAAATACAAAACTGAATAATGTTTACATATTTATTATAAATATACATATACAACAATTATACCCATGGAGAATTTGATATGAGGGAAAACATTTTTGCTCCACACTAATATGCATACTCAAAAGTTGTATTTGTTTGTAGAATGTGATTCAGAAGTTCATTTACAGGCATATAGTTCAGAAATGGAAAGTTATAGGAAACTAATTAAGTGTTATGGAATAAGGTGTTGTGAGCCTACCCTGTGACAGTATCATTGAAGTTATTCAAGGTCATCTTCAATGAATTCATTGCTATGTACCTTTATAATGATTGTGTGTGGTATTCCAAGATTCAACAAGACTAAGCACAAAGTTACTAGATAACTGAACAAAGTGCTGTCTAGAAGAATAGGGTTAATAATTTGTTAACTGCGGAATAAAGAAGACATGGTGGGAAGATAAATGGAAATGAACACTATTTACAGAAGAATGGGTTACACTAGCTTACCTAGATTGAATACTGCTTTGTTGTATTTTGAAGAAAAATTATGTTACTAAGGTTAAAGGGTAAAAATTAAATGAAACAAAATATATCTTTATGGAAATAAAAATGCTTAAATTCAGCTAGAAGAAAAATATTAGGCTTATTATAGAAAGTAAAACACAATCAGCAGGTTTTGGGAGAAACAGGAAACAAAAACTAGACTTCTACAACAAGTCAATCTTTAAAGAAAGAAGAAAAACAGAGTTTGAAAATGTCAAAATTGATTTTATAATTTAAATTCTCCCTGTAGCAGGCCAATCACAAAGTGGATCACGTGTACCTGGAAATATCTCTGCTGTGACAATTGTAAAGTAGTCACACATAAACAAAGCAATGTCGGATACAAAACAACTATTCCATGAAATAGTAGATACCCTTCTTGACCAAATACTACTAGAGAAAGTAACGTGAGGGCTGAATTAGCAAATGACCTTGGATTTACAACATTCCAAATCAGAAGAACAAATGAAAATTTGAATATTCTCTAAACATGAAATATATATTCTAGAAGAGTGAGATATGTGTTATCTGTCTACCATTATTTTAAATCACAAAATATATTTCTGAAGCAGGCAGTATCACAAAGCCCATTGTAGGTGATTTTCAAATCATTTGTTGACTCAGCAGTCCTTAGCCTCTAGTCTGTAGACTCCTAGGGGCCCATGATCATTCTGAACAGAGTCTGTAATGATACAGATCAAGCTACCATATCATAGTTCAAAAAATATAATCTTTGATTAAATGATTATAATGTTTTAGACAATTTTGTTTATTTATTAATGTCACTGAATATAGAGATTTGCAAGATTGTTTTGATTCATGAAGGGCTTTATGAGGGAAAAAAATATTGAGGACCATTGAGTTAATTGATAATTTTAGCTGGCTTGTGGTTAGTCAGGCTGCAAAATTTATAGTCACACTAACTGTTTTGTGGAATATTCCAAGTTAATGGCAAATGCTTGTTTAATTGTATATCTAAAAGTTTTTATTTTGTCATCAAAGAAAACACTTTATTAAATGAGAAAATCACAATAAACTAATTTCTGCATGTTAGAATCGTATATTTTCAGCCACATGTGACATTCATTAGCTTTGATTATCTTTATTACGTTAGCCTGGACAGTTCTTTTGTCATTCATTAAAAGAGGTAGGTTTTATTTACACATTTCCAAGTTCTTTAACTACTGATGGTATGTTCATAAAATATGTATTAGAAATGTTGCAAAGGTTTAATTTGTGTAATCTTTAAATGTTTTAGAGAAATATGGCTTTAATGTTTTTTTGTTTTTGTTTTTTGTAATCATAGAACAAACCAATGGAGAGCTGCCTGTGGCACCAGTCAGCACTTTAGAAGAAATTCAAAATTTGACCACAAGACTTGCAGGAGTATGTAACATTCAAACAGAACAGATAATAGTTTTGTTTTGATTTTTCTTTCAGCACTCAAATATTTTACTATTTTTCACTTTGTTCTCCATAAATATACTTGATATAGTCTTCAAACTTAGAGAAAACTTAGGTTAATTTATATTCTAAAAGTCTTGAATATGTTTGAATTTAAAAATGAAAACTATGTTTAAAAGAAACCTCTAAAATAACAATTTAAAGCTGTGCTTTTTCTTTCACATAGTGTTTGCAGTTACAAACATGAACTTTAAAGAGCTAGTATAGAAGAAACTATATACGTCGTATAGACAGTCTCTCCAAGATGTTCAAAGTACAGTGTGTACTGGTTGTTTACAAGTAATTTGAGAACATTCCAAGAACTTGTCCCTGAGATAATGATTTTAAAAATTTTCTCAGTTCAGATAAGTCATGCCCACTTGTAAAGTAAAAGCTATGTTGCTAAGTGACAGTTTTAAGTTGAATGCCATGTTTATAGTCAATAAAAAGAGCCAGTTTCATGCTGTATTTCCTAATGAAGTTAGGAAATGTAATTGATGTTTGCATTTTAGAGAGGAAGTCGAAAAAAGCTTAATCCATTGTTGAAAGCAGCATTCCTAGTACTTGGCTATTTTTTCTCACCTTATACATATTAGTTTGAACAGTGAAATTGCATTTAGGTTTTACTTTTATATTTTAGCTATGTATTATTTGTGTTTTAAAATCCATATTTGAAAGGTTTAATGATTATTTTTGTTTTTCTACTTGATGCATCACCAGTCATGGTTATAAAAAGACCCGAGGGCAAACATTATGTTTTAGGCTAAAGCAGACTCTCTGCCAATCATAACATTATATTGGTTGCAGGGACTCATTGAAGTGTGTCGAATATAATAATAAAAGATAAAGAATTGGAAGAGAAAAAGAAAACATTAAAAATGAAAAACATTTGTGGAAAGTTAAAGACTTGAAATTGCACATAATGACCCAAAAAAGATATTTTAAGATTATTCAATGAAGAGATAAAAGGTATATACATATTTCCATTTCCTAATTTTAAATATTTCATTACACTGTGTATTGTGATAATAGCTAGAGTTAGTGATGTTGTAGAGAAAATGGCAGGTAAAACATAAACATCAACCGTAAAAAACTTTTGATATTCATTTAGGAGGTTCTAAAGATTGTACAAGTGAATTGTGAAAACTGTAAGATATAAAATATTTTTATATTTAGCATGAAAATAACTTTACAGGTGAACTATTCAAAGACTGAGCACAGATAACTACATTAAATAGTGAATTTGTAGTAGAAATAGCAGAAAAAATCAAAATTGAATATTTTATTTTTCTGAAGGAAGGTTCTTGTCAGATTTAAAATAATTTCATCCACCAGTTTCAGTTTTGTAAAGACATTCATTAGAGTTATGTAACATTATTACAATAGACATAGGATAGGGTTAATGAAAAGTGGAAAATTTTTATTTTTGAAAAAGCATGCACCAATCTATGGGTTTAAAAGCTTACAAAAGTTGAATTTTCTTGTTACACAGCTATCAGTGTCTCAAAAATTAACTAAATGCAGTGTAATTGTAAGTATAATTAAATTTTTTCTTTTACTGTAGTGATACTTCACTCAGTTACACTCTTCCAAATGTTGTTCTCATAGCAGTTTTATAGATGTTCAACAGGTTTCACTGTAAGATAAGTGAAAAATGCTCAATGGGAAATTTAATCCCATAAATAACTTGTTAATAAACATAGTTGAATTTATTTATGATGTTAGATACTTAAGCTGGCAAAATATAAAACCTATATATGACAAAAATTTGAAGAAGGTTCAGCAATTTTCTCTTAAATCTTTCAACCCAGGCTCAGTCCCTGGCACCGACCTTCTAACCATTTTGTGCTTGTTATAGTTTTCATGCTATAACTTTTAAGTTAGTAAGCGA